CCCCCTCCCGGCCCCATAAAGCTGCCGGAGTCAAGCTGGCAGCCTCTGCTGTCTGAGATTGCAGCTGCTGGTAAGCGCGCTTGGAGCGGGGCTGCAGAGAATGGCTAGGGCTGCCCCCCCCCATGCGGCCCAAAACAAATTTATGTGCAGCCCAAACCAAATTTTCATCTAATGTGGCCCAGGGAAGGTGAAAGTTTAGACACCCCTGCCTTAGACTGTTTATTCCATCCAAGGAGTCACAGTGCTTGCATAACAGTGCAGCATCATCTTAGGTACTTTCCCAAAGATCAAGGGATGAATTGTGCTTTAAAAATAACCCATCATTAAAATTAAGGAAATTAAGAGCTAGCAGCTATTTTGTTTGTCACAGCAGGGACTTTTTTTTCCTCCCACGGTTTGCAAAATCAGCTGTTTTGCGATTGGACTTCAAGACATAAGCAAGGTCTTCATCTGAAAGTCTGATTTCTCGGATACAAAAGACTGCCTGAGTCATGTCTCTGGAACACTAAGTGACTGCAGTTCTAGTAACAGGTTACTGAGCGCATATAGTTTGGCCTGAAGTCCACTGGCTCCACACAGATGTAATGTATCTTTTTTCCCCCCCACTGGATATTCTAAGGATGTAGATTGCAGCAAAATAACATCTCATTTGGGCCTAAGAGATCCAAATCTCAGATGATGCAAAAAGGCAAACAAGCCCACTCCCCACTCAGCCCATATGATCAACATGAGGGACGCACCACTAGGAGCCACTGCCAGTAAAGCTTTTCCTAAAAGCTGCCCACATGGCTAAGCCATCCCAAAGTGTCTGCCTCGGAACTGTTGAGATCTAGGGTTTATTCTCACCTAAAATCCCTGCCAAAAGAGGCAATAAATTAGGAAAATATTCTCATTGCCAGTTCTTACAGGCGTATTTTGATGAGCTCTGACTGGGTAGTCAGCTTCTTGAGGGCTTGCACTCTGATTCAGTGAATGTTACTTTTCACTTAATTATCTTTAGACAGAATTCTGTCCATGAAGTCCAAATCATTTCTTAGTTATGAGAAATAACTGAGAATTTCTATAAACCTTTTTTTTTGTGTGTCATTTTATTGTAATGAAACAATTTTCCTGGAAAGCTGAAGAACATGACCAGGAATGCCAAGAAACTGGGAGCAATTTTTTAAAAAAATCTTTTTTAAAACGTCCAGTGTTGAAATGTATGAATCACTCCTTCAAAAAGAAGAGGCTTAAAATGGGGGGTGCTTTTCCTCCAACAGTACAGAATGTTTATGATACATGACTATGTACATTTTTCAAATACTTTCCTGTTTAAAAAAACAGTGCTGATTTATCTTCTGCCTTCCCTTGCACATCTTTCCTGATCACAAACCCCCTCACTCCCAAGGTTGCCAAATTTTAGGGTGTGAAGAGACATTTCTGTGTTGTTTTTTCCAGGAGAAGCTGTGTGTGACTGCAGGATCTGTAAAAGCAGCAAGGGAGTAGACTGGCTTAATATGAATGTTCGTTGTTAGCTCCACTGCATATTCGTCTGCCACTGGCTGGGCTTGAGCCTCCAGGCCTAACTGGGGTCTGCCCCTGGACCGTATCGGAGCTATCCTATGGCAACACCAGATGTAACTAAACCCCACCTTCAGTCTACCAGGTATCACTTCCTTCTCTGTCAGCTCCTTCCCCAAGTCTCAGTGCATAAAGCGCTAAAGAGATAACAGCATCAAAGCAGGATGGAGAGCTGGAAACTAAAATGATTTCAAAGGGGTTATGAGGAGTGGAGGAGGCATTCTGGACACTTAGTGCTCTTATACTGTAGGATTAAGGCAGTAAATTTCATAGTTGCAAGGCAGGCACGTTACTATGCTATGAGAGAATTTACAGTGTTCCACAAGGAATACACTGAATTAAATGATGGTGCATGCACACTGTATTGTCACTGAGGAGACTCCTGGTGCAACTCTGTGTGATTGTCAGCCCCATCCTCAGTTCCTTTCCTCCCCCATTCTGCTGTGCCGCTGCATTCTCAGTTCCTTCCACAGTTCCTCCCCCATTCTGCTGTGCCGCTGCATAGATGTGACTGGTTCTGTCAGCTAGTCCTTATGCTGAAGGGAAAGTATTCTGCAGCACCTTCAGGGCAGACTCGTGTGAATCCTTGGCACTGTTGCGGACTTGCTTCGGTCCCCTGCACAGCCCGGTTGGTGACTCCTATAGAAACTTAGGCAATCAGACATTTTTGAAGGACATAATTTTTTCATCTGAAGACTAAACTAGAACTTGTCTTGGTAGATGGGTGATCACAACTCCAGCAAAATGGATGCTGAATCTGTGGGCAGGACATAGAAGAGAGTGGGGTATGCCGCGGCAACACGGGTTGCTTCATTGTAAACTTTGCTCGACCAGACTGTTTTTCTGTTGAAAGTACTCACAACGTGGCTTACAATAAAACACTAAAAATAACCAACACAACAGCATAGTGAATACCATGTAAGGATATCTACTTTAAGTAAAATCATATACATAAAGCAGGGGTGATTAATATATGGACCATAAGGGTCCAAATACCACCCCCAGCACCCTATTTTTCTGGCGCAAAAAGGCTCTTTGTACCCTTCTAGGGAGGATGAAGGGCTGTTTTGTCATTTTGTGGAGGCGCTCCACCCTCTGGCCTCTCACACCTCTAAAATTGTTAAATTGGTTTTTTAAAAATAACAAAAACAAAAAACAAGTGGCTCTCTTTTTGGTTAAACCACCCCCCGCCCCAATTTCAATTTTTGTGAAAATTGGGATGTATAAGGTAGGAGTCACAGGAGCAAAGTGTTGTCTGTTAAGGTCATAGGATTGGGGTGTGTGTGTGTGTCGCCCTCGGATCTTTGGAATCCACCCTGGTTACAGAAATACAGCAATACAATTAAGCAAAATCCTTAGTGGAACAAGAGTATTGCTCTCAATTACCTAAAAAGCATGCTTCCCGGGGAAAGGAACTTTGTATATGCATCCCTGGTACACATTTCTATAGCTGAAATTCTACTGATCAGCACAGTATGTCACCTAAGAGTAGACAAATGGAATCAGAGAACATTTGGTGAGTTACTTCCTAAGGGGCATGGATTCAAACAAGCCCACTCTAGCTGCTACGTGCATTGACCGAGTCAGTCACAGTTGAAGAAGGCATTACATGAATCAATGGAACTTACAGAGGATATGACTTGCTACTTGCATTGACAGAGTCAGTCACAGTTGAAGAAGGCATATTTGAATCAATGGAACTTACAGAGGATATGACTCACTACATTTCCACTGATTCAGTAGCCCTACTCCAGTGCAATTCACTACACTAGCAGGACTTCAGCCCATGAATGAGTTGTTACTTGACGGTGCAGGAAAGGTACTGAACTAGCTATAATAACTATGCAGGTAACAGTTGCCCTCTGCATGGGAAAGGGACTGTACCTACATCAATTTAGTAGCATATTTTTAACGTAATACGAACTGTTGTATTTCTGGTTTTGGACTGCAAATACCGACCTCCCCGGGCAGCTATGGACCTTCGAAGCATTCTGGGAGCTGTAGTTCAACACGAATGCTCATAACTCGACTAGTTTTTCGTAATGAAAATGTAGTGACCACGTTTTGTGAAGGTGCGCGCTAATATCGATTATTTCATGTCCCCAATGACTGCGTGAGAGAGGTTAGGGTGAAGGCAAATCTGTCAGCCGGACCTCCCCCCCCCCGACTCCTCCGCTTAAACCCCTCTGCAGCTAATGCAGTCCCCTCAAGGGTTAAACGCCGTCCCTCCTCTCCTCGTGACACCTCTCCGGGATGGAGGACTGTAGAGATACAAAAAGTGACACTCAGTTTAAACTTCCGGTAAAAAAGAAGAACACTGGACCTGCTTCTATCTAAGTGCGATTCTACGTCTGACAAGCTGACTTCTGTGATTCTTCATGCGGGTGGGAAATGCGGGGGGGGGAGCGCACGAACTACAACGCGCTTTCCGATTTGCATGAGTAATTAAAGTGGAGAGGGAGATCAAATGAGGACCGGACGTGACTGTAGGACAGCGTATAACCAGTGATCACTCTCTTCGGCTCTCAAAGATGTCCGTGCGGAGATGAAAGCCGCTTTCGCGCCTGACGTCATCAGTCAGCGCCGGCAGTAGCCTTTTCCTCTCGTGGGCGCATATGCTGAGCTTTCAGGGGAGGAAAGCATCGGACCAGCGAAGATGATCCGGCTCCAGGTTTCCTTGGTGAACAGGGGATTTCTTACACGGGTGAGCGCGATTATGGGGATGGGCCCTCACTGCCCTTGCAGTGGGTGCAAGGGCGGGCAGAAGGAAAGGTGAAAGAAGGATCGGGAGCGATTTAGGGGGTGGGGTCACGACGAGAATTCAGCTGCATTTAGCCCAAAGACCCTCCATCCCAGGACCAAGAGGAGCCATCGAAACGGTGCGTCTGGAAGAAACTCGGAAGCTCCAGTTGTTCTAACCCCACAGCATCTGTTTTTCTGTGGTATGCTGCCCTTGTATATGGAGGTTCTACTTGGGACAGATAACAGCTGAATAGGTGTTTTTTTCTATGAGTGTGTCCGATGCTTTCTCAAGCCCATCTTTATCCTTTCATTAGTGCATTTATGGCAATAAATTCCAGTAAGTCACTCGTGCATCGTGTGAAAAAGTCATCTAGTTTCTATTGAAATGACTGAATGAGCAAATTTTGCTGCAGTGTAGAGAGGAAGGTGGGCCCTTGCAGTAAAAACAGTGTCACAGTATTTTGCTTTTGCCCTGTTCTCTTTTTCCCTTTAATTTTTGCCAACACTCTGAGACAGGTTAACATGGTTGCATCTTTGAAAAATAAGACTCCGAATAAGCTACAGTGGCCCAAAGATACAGTTTGCATCAGAGAAGAAATACAACTCCCTTATCATGACAAGGACAAACTTTGGGCCATGGAATTTCCTTCCAACTCTGATAAGGACAGAACAACCTGTCTTGCAGAAGCAAACCAAGGGTCTGTCTAATGCAGCAGTTGGCTTCTAGCCACAGTCAGCCAGAATCCCCTGCAAAGACTGCATGCAAAACATGAAGATCAGAGGCTTGGGGAGTCACTTTTGCTAATGGGAACTCCTAGAATCCCCCAGCCAGAATGACTACTTTTTCAAACTGATTGAGGAGATGGTTATTTACAAGCATTTCCCAGAATACACTACTTCAAATGCATTTGGAACTTGCATTTTTAATTCCTGTGGCTAATAGCTGGGTATAGTCCTGTTTTCCATGTATGTGTTTAACCCTTTTTCAAAACCATTGAAAGGGGCAGCCACCACTACAGTAGCACATGACAGTAAATGCTGTATTTTAATTACATGGTTCTGCAATAGTTAACTTTTTGATTGTTAATAGACTTCTCCCAATTATCTTCATTGTGTTTATAATATTCAGTTTCCATCTATAACACACACCATCCTTTAGCATCACAAGTTAATTTTAGAAAGAAACATAAACCCCCAAATAGGGGGAGGCATATGCAAAGCATTAGATCCCTTCCTTGAGGAACTAATGTTATAGTAATGTGGAGAGACATTAGTAAAGATAAGGGGACACATAAAAGAAAGTACAGTCACATATGATTTTAGCTTATGTGTATCAGGTCAGTGGAACTTAACCAGTGCTAAGTTTACACAAGGTTGCAGTGTTCTTCTGGATTTTCTTTGGACTAGGAGTGTTGTGGCAAAAACTGTGGGATTAAACCTCAAACATTTCTTGGGGAAGTTGGGTTTTGAGCTGCAGCTTGAAAGATGAAGGAAATGGCACCAAGATGACATTCCATCAAGTTCATTAAAAGTTATGTGCCAGCTGTTCATAGCTGAAAGATCAGAGTTGCTTAAGAAGGATGCCTAGATGTAGTTCATTTCTATGTGCGCTGTAGTAGTGATCACCAGTGGCATTAGCTGTCTCACTCTACTTCTGTTTTAATTTCTACCCCAAGCTATTGTCTACCACGTCATCAAAACAGACAGATGTACTAAGCAGTGCTGATGTTTCTGCTGGTGAAGTGGGGGCAACTTCATCAGAAGGTAAGACCTTAAACCTTTATTTGATTTATTGGATATACCATTTTCTGAAAACATTGCCCCTGCAGTATTAGAAGATAAAAATCCTTATTTATCTGTAGCAGTTGCTAAATTTGTCACTGCTGTTCAGTTCTCCAACAAACCTTTATTTGATTGATTGGATATACCATTTTCTGAAGACAATGCCCCTGCAGTGTTAGAAGATAAAAATCCTTATTGTTTTTTTGCCCCTTTCATCTTATTTTAGAAACACATCCTGCTGTTCAGTTCTCCAAGATGATTGAACCTCATGTGATTTAAATATTTTGTTTTTTGCTGCTCATGAGTTTTTAATGAGCTTCTAAGGGAGGAAAGGAAAAGGTAAGCCCATCAAGTTGTTATTTTATTCTATTCTGTTTAATTTCACATTATTGATTTATATCCTCATCTTTCTTTCACGGATTTCCAGATAGCATCTGTGGTTACCATTCTCATGTCTTGTTTTTTTGCTCCTTTCATCTTATTTTAGAAACACATCCTGCTGCGGTCTCCACTGACCCCATCCTACGGAAATGCAGCATTGCTGTCCCCAAACACCTTACACCTGTCCAGGCTTGGGTGGAATCACTGAAACATTATGACGCCAGACATCTCGGCTTGGTAGACCTGCATCCAGATGTGTTTGCAGTAATGCCCCGGTGAGGCCTGGGATATTGTGTTCATGTTTCTAACCCTTACGATTACAAGAGCTAAGCTGAAAAGGAACAAGCAGGCTGTCAGAAAAAGGGGGGGAAACCCACAAGGCAGCAAAGAGTTCCTAGAGTGATCTTTCATAGTGGGTTCTTTGCATCAAGGAGTAGGGCTTGGAAGTAGGGGAGCAAAATCTCTAGAGGCAAGTGACGGGATATGGGTTAGAAGTAAACCAGGTTGGATATATGTGGGCTCTTAAGGCTCATGTTTGAAATTTCAGCTTCCAGAAGCCACTGCCAACAGGGTCAGTGGTAGGGACTGGGTTAGACCTTCCCACAGATGTAAGTTGCTTGAATTATGCCTATCAGAAATTGCACAACACTGTCTTTTGGGTTTATTCTTTCTTGGAAAGTTCCTTCAGAGCAAACATAAGCCGAACCCAATTTTAGCTGTCAGTTGAAATCTCAGCTCTTTGTGATGTCGCAGACCAGGGTGCAACTTCCTATCTCCCTGCCCTCTGCTTCCGCTGCCTCTCTGGGATGACAAGGAAGTGTCGATGACCCATAGTTTTGCGTTTAAATTTTAGAGCATTATGGGCACTTTTTCCCTCTCTTAGGAATATAGGATGCAGCCTTACCCAAAGAGTAAGACCTGCTGTCTACTCTTGAATGACAGTAGTCATCTAAGGTTTCAGGCAGGATTCTCTCCGAGGCCTACCTGGAGATCCTTAGTATTCTCTGTGAGTCTCCCATTCACTTATTCACCATGCCTGATCCTGCTTAGCTTCTAAAATCGGATAAATTCAAGTGTATTCAGGGCATTATGGAAATATTTGCTTTTATGTTGGCCTCTTCTGAGGTCTTTTGCTAACTCTTGTTTTTTACTCTGTGTGTTGGCTGGTTGGTTTGTGTTTTTCCCCAGAATTGATATCCTGCATGCAGTGGCTATCTGGCAGAAGAATTTTAAGAGAATTGTGAGTATTGGACTGTGGCTAAGATTATAGGTCAGGGACTAGCTGGACTGTCTGGTTAAAAAGTGACACAAAACAAGCAGTGGGCCCTTAAAAGGCATCTACAAGCAAGGTGCCCACATTCCCCAGGGCAGTTTTTTAGTGTAAAAATAAAAAATTGAGAAGCAGTATTTTTCCTTCACCTTGCCCCCCCCCAGGCCTGTTTTTGAATGATGTGCCAAAGTAGCAAATACAGTGGTGCCCCGCTTAACGAGCAATTCGTTTAATGACGAATCCGCTTAGCGATTGAGTTTTTGCTATCGCAAAAGCGATCGCATAACGTTATTTTAAATGGCAAAACATCGCTTTGCGATGAACGGTAAGCGTTTCGCTTACCGATTATCGAATAACAATGTTTTAAGAACAGCTGATCAGCGGTTCCAAAATGGCCACCAGGTGAAGAAAATGGCCACCCGCAGCGTTTTCGCGCCCTTTCCTCGCTCACCGGGCAGCGAAAATGGTGGCCGCATGGAGGATTTCTGCATAGTGGTGAGTTTACAGCCCATAGGAACACATTAAACGTGTTTTAATGCGTTCCTATGGGCTTTTTTGCCCCACATAGCGACGATTTTTTAAGAACGGATTATCGTTGCTATGCGGGGCACCACTGTATCATGCATCAGTGGGAAGTAATTTAGCTGGCCATATTTGAATATCAAACATGTTCTTTCCTATGGATTTACAAAAATAAGAATTTGTACCGGAGGACTGCTGTATCCCTTGGGGGGGTTGGCATAGTCTCTAGTTCCCTCCCAAGGTGGACAGTTCTAGCAATATACCTCCAAAATGCATCTCTCTTGGTGGGGAGTTGTTATTTAATATTTTCAGGAAGCAGATAAGTGAAACAACTAGTATTGCTCCTATGGATATGGCGACCCTACTGCATTGCGAATAATTTATAAATATATGTGTGCGAGGTAAATAAATGCATTTGCATTCGTGTGTTTGATATAAATATTTGACACAATGGTTCAAAGTTTGGCATTTGTATGGTGGTGAACTTGCCATTTTGTAAATACTTTGGGCATCCTTGCTTAATTTGGGTTGGTGAACTTCCATTGTCTTTGTGGCAGGAGGTTGGGGACAGAGAGGCAGGGGGAGCGGGTGGAGGAGTTGGTCTTCCTGGGAGGATTTGGACAACGGGACTTTGTGAGGAGGGGTTGAGGGGGACGGTTGGGCGTCCAAAGAAGGACGATATTTGCTCTTTCTCCTGTTGGGAAATGAATATCCAAAGCAGGAGAGTTTGTTTGTTCCCTGGAAAAGCCATGGTTCACATTTCACCTTTGCCATACATTCCATTAAAGTGAGCCCAGCTTTTGGCCACGCTGTTTGGGGACCACTGGATTGGCAGCCAGGCATCTCCAGCGGGGGTTATTTCAGAAAATGCTGGGAAAGCCCTTCTTTCTCATTGTCTTCCCAACCTGTAATAGAGGTTTAGTAATACGGGGCTAATTTTGGCAGGTTGTTGTGAGGGTTACTGAATGCTCCGTGTTGTTTGTATTTGCTGGCTTTTGCTCTGGCTGAGTACTTGACCTAGTTTTAATTTTCCAGAGTTATGCCAAAACAAAAACGCGGGCAGAGGTGAGTGGTGGCGGCAGGAAGCCCCGGCCACAGAAGCACACTGGGCGGTCACGGCAGGGCAGTATTCGGTCACCGTTGTGGCGTGGCGGTAAGTGGCTCTCCCTCGCAGCTTTTCTTGCTTATAGTACTACAGCTTTGCAAACCACGTGGCTTTAGTGAGTTGTTGGCCTTTCTGGCTTGGGAGGCAGGTCCGTGAAACTCTGCTTGTGGACATTTCCTTCAACAAAATCCAAATATTATCTTTGGACCTAGGGGAGGGCAGAGCCGAGAGAGTGCCAATGGCCAAGCAAACAGCCCCTTAACATTTCTGTCCTTTTCCAATCTTCCTTTTAGGTGGGGTCTCCCATGGCCCTCGTGGCCCCACCAGCTACTACTATATGCTCCCTATGAAAGTGCGGGTCCAGGGCCTCAAGGTGGCTTTGACAATGAAACTGGCACAGGTATGGCTGCTGTAAACTATGGGAATGAAAACGTTTCTGCCCAGTGTCTTGGGGAACTTCTCTTCTGGGTGGGGTGGTGGGGATTTCAAACAGATTTAAGAGTTCTGTAGCACCTTTAAGACCAGCAAAGTTTTCTTTGGCATAAACTTTCATGGACTGTAGCCCGTGTCTTCTGATGCACAGCTCTAGGCGACAGACATTTTTACAGGAATGGGGAGGGCAGGAGTATGAATTATAATGAAGATCCAAACATAAGAAGTCTGGTGCTATGTCATCCATGGTCAATTCAGGGCTACCTACTTAAAAAATCCAAATAGACTTATTTGCTTCTCCTATGAATGCTAAACTGTTCAAGTTCTCCTCTCATTTCCTAACCCCAAAGGTGGACAATCAAGATGTCTTGATCTCTCCTTGGCCTCTAGGCTTGCACTGTGCTTTCCCCTCAACAGCCCTCATAATACCAGAGTGCTCAGGAGAAGCATCAGCGGTATTGGTGGCCGTTTAACGGCTTAGGTTTCCACAGATTTCCCAGCTGGCAGTGGAAGGCCCTCGGTTCCTGCCAATATCACACCGACCCCTCTTATGGTCAGCTTCAGCTCGGCAGCCCAGCCTCGCTCAAAGCAGCAGCTTGGCAACTGAGTGGGAGAAGTAATTGAAATAAAGCTAATGATAAACTGGTTTCTAGTAGGCTCTCGTTACCCTTCCACATTGAGAATTTATAACGGAACTGTGAAACGTTTTCTCTTATGATGGCTTAGAAAAGCCACGTGGATGGCATCTCTGCTGGTCTTCATAAGCAAGTGGAATTCTTACAGGTTGGTCTGTCCTCAGACCTCCATCCCAGCACACTTCAAGGCACACCTTTTAGGATGGTAAGGTACCCCCTCAGCTCATATATCTCTATAAAGAGATTTCTAATATAGTAGAAGCTTCCATTATTAGCCGTCTCGGCAGCCACAGATTCCTGTACTGAAGCTTCACCTCATCCTGAACACCCTTATCAAGGCTTCCTTTCAGCCACTTTGTTAGCTTGCTTGGGTCCTGGATCATGGATTGCTCCTCCTTTCTGATGACCAAGAATGTTGACATTGGCTTACCTTCTGTGAAAGTCCATTCTGATCTGTGGGGGAAGTGGAAGTCCAGATCTGCCTGAGCAGTCGTTGACTCCATGGATCTTCATGGAAGTTGAATGGATCTTCGCCATCACAGCATATGCTGCTTTACTCAGATTTCATCTGGAGTACTGTGTCCAGTTCTAGGCACCAGCATTTAAGAAGAATATCAACAAACTGGGGTGTGTTGAGAGGACACTGACCGAGGTGGTAAAGGGTTTGGTAACCAAGTTTCATGAGGAACAGTTGAGGGAGTTAGTTATATTTATCCTGGAGAAGAGACAATTTGAGAAGCAGTATAAAGGTCATCTTCAAATATCTGGAGGCTGCCCTATGGAAGATGGAGGAAGCTTCTTTTCTGTGGTTCCATAGGGTGGGTGTTAAAACAATGGATTTGGGTTACAAGAAAAGTGGTTTTGAAAACATTGGGAAGAACTTCCTGACAGGCGCAGCAGTTTGCCAGGATAGTGGACTGTCTTGGAAGATAGTGGATTCTCCTTCATTTTAAACTGAAGTTATAATGGCCAACTCTCGGGGAAGTTTTAGCTATGGATTACCTACGTCAGCAGAGAGTTGGACTCAAGTGACCCTTGACACCCCTTACAGTTTTGTGATTCTGTGACGGCCCATCAGTGGAAAAATCAGGGGGACATGAGATGTAAATGTTTCCTTGATCGTTGCTTTCTAAGATGGGAGAAAGTTTTCCCTCTTTGGGTCTTCACATTTCTGCATAGCAGTGAGAGAAGCCAAGTTGAAAAGTCAGTGCCCGATATCTTAATGACATGAGATGAACGGGGTTATGTTTGGAATAGCTGTGCAAGTCTGTTGGCATCGTGTCAATGACTGTGGCTTGTATCGTGGGGAAAGACAGCCAAAGTGATTAATCAGTTAGAGCAGCTTCCCTATGAGAAAAAATAATTTGGGTTTTCTTTTTTAAAGAAAAAGAGCAGTAAATCTGGTGACAAGAAACTCTTGGTTTCCATAAAGCTAACAACTCTATTTAATATCTTGTTTTTCTCTTCCACCTACAGGATGGTCTACATATTGTAGATTCCCTGGAGATTCCCACTTCTGACCCCCAGTATCTTACAGACCTGGCCCAATACAGGCACTGGGGAAGATCAGTACTGATTGCAGATGTGTGAGTTTCCTTCAGAGTCTGGTTGGGGAAGCGGCCAAGCCTGGGGGCCTTCTCTGGGGCCACCGCTTGGTGGGAGATCTGTTCTTTTCATTTAACCAAGGATTGCCGGTGTATTGAGCCTCGGAAACAAAGTCTAGGAACCTGGGACAGGTTTTGACTGAATGTATAGTTCCCGGACTTACGTTCCAGGGAAGCCTGGGCTCAGCAGAATCTCAGTCAGAGTTAGGATGAAACAATCAGTAACATCCAGCAGGCTGTTGTAAATGGGAGTTGACATGCCACAGCTCATACTTCCTTGAATGGAGTGTTGGGCCTGTTCAGGGCTGTGTCCTTTTTTTAAATTCAGGGTGACGGGATGATCAGTAACTGATCATCCCGTAACCAGGCTGTATCATTAGGTTGTGTCTCCAACAGTCTGACTGTGTGGCCAGGATTATTCCAAGGATTCTGCCCTGGAAAGCTGTGAGATCCACATGACTTTCTGTGGAAGATAATGCAGAGCCAGAAGTTATCCCCTCCAAGTAGAAAGCTTGGGCCAGAGATTGTTCCCTTTAAAAAGAAAGCTTGAAAATCACGGGCCTAAGCCAGAAGTTATTGAATACAGTGGAAGAGAGTGGGTTTTTTAAAAAATGAATACAAGGAAAAGGGTGTTGACTAGACATGGGCACTTTGTATTCATACCTCTGGGGATACATATACAAAGCTTGGAATCACATGTGTCACAGAGGGCCATTTCCTCCCCCCAGAACTGGCTGGTTCACTCATTTGTCACCACGCAGCATGCGTGTCCGTCATCACTGACATTGCACCAATCGCGAAAGTAGCCTGGCTGGCACTTCCCTGTGCAACTGACTTCTCAGAAGCTGAGCAGCGAGACTCTTCATCCCACCTCCTTGCCAGAGTGGTTGGCTGCGTGGGGAGGCGCCGGCTGGGCTACTTCCATGATTGGCCCAATGTCAGTGATGACAGATGTGGCAACCAGTGGGTGTACTGTCCAGTTCTGGAAGGATGAATGGACCTCTGTGACACCTGTGGTGCCGTGATTTGTATTCATATACCCAGGGATACAAATACAAAATGTGCCTGTCTAGTGTTGGCTTAAATCTTCTAACAGGATTGGGGAACTTTTACTCCTCTAGATAAACTACCATATTTGCCGGAATATAAGATGACTTTTTCCCCCTGAAAAACATGCGTCCAAGTGCGGGGGTCGTCTTATACACTGGGTGCACTTCAGAAAGAGCTGCTGCTGCCGTGAGTGACGCGGGGCCACGCTGGCCGGGGAGGAAGGCGGTCTCTCTGAAACGTCAGGCAGTCCTGAAGACAGTGTCTTAAAGACTAGCAGATGGAGCAAAGAATAAGCTTTTGTGCTTGTGACAAGCTGGCTGTAGTCTCTCAAAGTTTAAGCCACCGCCAAGGTGCCGCCACTTGGGTTCCACAAGGCTGAACTTCTCTGCTGCAACAGTGGGACATGGTTAACCCCGTAGAACAGGGTTTCCTGAGCCTTTTAAAGTCACAACCCCCTTTTATAATAGCCAAGTAACCTGTAACCCCCTGCCATAAAAAAAGGACCCTGCCAGGCAGCTCTTCCCCTCATGGGTAGCGGGGCGGAGCTCGGTCTCTGCCACTCATAACAAGGCATGTCAAAATCTCACCTGGTTGCCTCTTGTGAGGCTTTGTCCAGCTGTTGCCACCTCCGCCGCCTTCTCAGGTGGGCAACAGTGGCCACCTTTTCCGCTTCCTGCTTTGTTGCTGTTGCGTCTCTCATGGAGCAGGGAAACCAGCCCAGAGAGAGAGAGAGCTTTTGCTACCAGTGCTAGCTACTCCCCACCATGACCACAGACTAAAATAATCTCAGTGACACATACACACACACACACACACACACACACACAGAGAGAGAGAGAGAGAGAGAGAGAGAGAGAGAGAGAGAACACTTTGTGACTCCCTCTTGGGTGTCTCAACCCACAGGTTGGGAACCCGCGGTATAGAATCAGAGTGACAGAGCTAATCCACTAAGGTGGACTGACATCTGCAGAGGTTCAAATGCTTATCCCTAGATTTTCAAGGGTTGCCTCCCTGGCTTTCCATTTCCTCTCTAAATATTGGGTGGGGTGGGTTTAAAAAGCCCCTCGGACATGCTAGAGTCCATGATTTTTTAAAAAATCAGGACGGAGTTTCAGATGTCCTTTGGGGCAGGGGGTGGGTCTTAAAACACGGCACAACTGTTTCCACACTGCCTTGAAGGCTTTTTGAGTTCATTTATTTTTAAAAGCCTTGAAATGTATTTAACAGCAGTGGGGGTGCTTTGGGGCCTAAAAGTGTAGGGCATCGCATTGGAAATGAAACCTATAAATAAAACTGGGTCCCGCTACACCACATGCAGCTTCTGGCAGCATCCTGCCCACCTCTGGATTGAATCAAAGAAGCTTTGAGTCCTTTTACTCCTAAAATATGTTGTCGTCTTTGAACAGACCACACCGGGGAAGAGAGGGGGGTTGAGGCAGCAGGCAGGTGGGCACCCAGGATCCCTGCGCAACACACTGATAACAGGGTACCTTGCACCCAGAAGGCCCTGGGCCTCTCCTTGCAAAACCCCTAATTCTTCTACTTTTGGCTTCCAGCAACGAAATACCTGAGAACATGCTGGCTGCGACAAGTCGTCTTAAAACCATCACAGTATTGCCAGCCATAGGTGAGTAGGGGTACAAGTGGGTCAGCAGGGCATGAAGATGCCTCCCCTGCAAGTTTAGGTACCGCAGCCTGGGTCCTCCATGCCAGGCATGTATGCCTCCTCCTTTCAAAGGAGCAGGACTGAAGAATGCTGCAGAAGACCCGTCTTGTTCTTGTACTCATGGCATCCTTTGTTATTGTTTACAATTGGTCATCACAACGTAGTCTTGACAAGAAATGAAGTGAATACATAGGCTGCATCTTAGGTATTCATCTTATCTCCATAAGAGCAAAATAGTTCACAGTAAGGTTCTCTGCAGGGGGGCGGGGGCAAAAGGATCACTTGTGTTCTTAAATGGATTAGTTGTTCTTCTGCTTTACAGGTATTTTTAACATGAACTGAGCTTGCTGCTGCAGTGAGCAAGATCTTTCCGTATGTAGCTATGCCGGACAGGACGGCACAGGGGAGTCCATAGCGAAGTCAGCCCCTAACAAGTATAAGTGGGGAATATACAACCCCCTAGATGGCACTGGAGTACAGCTCCTATCAGTCATACTTCACAAAGCCAAAGATAAGGGATGATAAGAGATACAGTCCAGTGACATTTGGAGAACTGCATGTCCTTCTTCCTGCTACAGACAGCTAAAGAAGCTCCCGCCCCGATACGCACTACTACGAGATCTCTTTCCCCATACACTTTTTAACTCAGTGGCTGATGGGCACCTGCTAGCCTTCCCAGTAGCACTGAATGGAGCCATGTCTTTCTCCCTTTCCGTTGGCTAGGCTGATGACTGAGAAGCAGACCAAGAGTCTGGCCTGCCTGCAGGCCTCTTGCATACCATGATTTGTTGATAGTCTGGAAAGACAGACCGATACTCCATTGTGTGTCCTGTGCTTCCCTTGACGTCACAACGTTTTTGGGTTAAGCTTCCCAGCAGTTGTGGGTTTTTCCCCCCATCATGAAAAGAGAGCTACGAAGTTGCGGCACTTTCTGTTGGTCTCATTCTTCGGTGGAGTCAAGCAGGGTAGCTACGACCTGACCACATGCCTCTCTTCCCTCCATGTCCCCAGGTCTGAATGTGCACAGTATGCTGAAGTATGATACCTTAGTGCTCACCTTGGATACAATTGACTTCCTGGAAAAGAAACTCCTGTGGCATGACGTCCGGTACGCGCCGCTGTATCCCTTCCGGTTGCCCTACAGTGACTTCCCTTAGCCTTTGCTCCAAAGATGGACCTGGACGGAGGTGCGCAAGGACAGCTGTAAATCATTTTGAGCACACTTAAGAAGTACACTTTTTTAAAAAGTACATTAAATCTAGCTTATTGACCACAATCATGGCCTGTTGTTGTTTTGTTTTTGATACAGTTGCAACTCTAAAAATACTGTACAATTAAAAGAAAATCTGGAGTGGTAGGGTTTCCCTGTGGGATTTGTACAAGTGAAGAAATAAGAAAGAAAGGTATAGTACTCAAGGACTGCCATGTCTTTCAGAAGAGCACAATGAGAACTTCACATAAATAGAGAGCACTTCTCGTCCAATATGAAAAGGGAATAGCAGAATTAAGTTCCCCGCCCCCAGCTATTGGATTTGCAGCACTTTCTCTGCACCTGAAACCCTGTCCTGAGCATAACTGCCTGAAGTATCCACTGGGGAGCTGTGTCGTTGCCAATCCCATTTGAATTTCCCTCAATAGCTCAGCCACAGTTTCATGCTTGAGGGCAAAATATGTATAATTTCTTTATTTGGAATATTTTTACCCTGCCTTTCTCCTTGAAAAGGACCCAAGGCAGCTTACAACAATTGAAAGACAATACTGTATATAAAGTGAAGAACAATGAGTATAATGAGGCATCTTACGTCATTACAAGACAATATTAAAGCTAGGAACAATATGTATACAGATACAGTATTATAAAGGGAGTAAAATGGCACTCAGATACATGGAAAACCCAAAAATGTAAAACACAGTAAGAATCCATATAAAAATCACACACAGGTAGCTGGTTACTGAGGGAAGGCTTGCCTGAAGAGAGAGGTCTTTGTCTGCTTGCGGAAGGACAACAAAGATGGGGCCAGCCTGTCCGCCTGTGGGAGGGAGTTCCAAAGTCTGGGAGCAGCAACAGAGAACGAAGCCCTCTCCCGTGCCCCCATCAGATGCACCTGTGAAGTTGGAGGGACCGAGAGAAAGGCCTCTCCTGATGAATCAACACCCAAACCAGCTCATAATGGGAGATACAGTCTTTGAAATAAGCTTGGACCAAAGCTATTCAGGGCTTTATAGTTTAAGACCAGCACTTTGTTCCTGGAAGCTGATTGGCAGCCAGTGGAGCTGCTGTAACCGGGGTTGGGGGGGTTATGTGATCCCTGTAACCAACACCCAGTCAGCAACTTGGCTGCTACATTTTGGACCCGTTGAAGTTTCCAAACACTTTCCATTGGCAGCCTCACATAACACTGTAGTTTGTAGAGTTTGTGCCACTACTGTTCCAGTCCTTGTTTAGAACAAAGATAGGCAGGGGAGAGAGGACTATATGTGGCCCTGTTGGTAAAATATTCTCCCTAGCTTTGTGTGTGTGTGATTTCAGTGACAGAAAGGAGGGCATGCGAGTACCTTGCCTTCTGCAGCCTGTGTGGTCCCAAATCTAGCTAGAAAACAGGAACTGAGCTCATGAAAGGGATGCTGGTTATTGTGGGCCTTTCCTACTGCCGTTGGTGGTTTTGAGCAACTGTTCCAATTTCCGCTTCATAGGCCGTTTTTTCCACCTGTATATCTGCAGCTGACTAAAGGCTATGCCAAAGGAGGGCTGCTGCAGGCACTGACAGTTCTAGTTGCTTCAAACAAAACAAAGCAAATCCTCCCCTCACCTTTGGGGATAAAACAGCAAATGCCAGACACAGGCTACCTGGGAAGTAAAACATTCAGATATGCTTTGAAGGGAATAATTCAGAAGGCAGTAATTAGTTACATAACTAGGCTGGAGGAAGAAGAATCAGAGGTGCTGAAGCAGGCATTAAATATCTTGTAATTATTAATGTTTTTAATGTTTGGATTTTTTTTAAAGATGCTTTTCAGAGGCATTGTATGGCTACTAGACAAGATGGCAGCAACCAATAGCCTCACCTCAAAGAGTTGTCTTAAATGGGAAGGGAGAACTTTCACCATTGGCCTTAAACTGTTCTGGTGCTTGTTCCTGTGGGGTTTGTTAGGAAAGGTCCAAAACAGGGAGACAGAACTGGTCGTAGGAGGGTACTAGCTAGCAACACCCCTGACATCTGCTACATTCCCCCATGAGGTTCCTCAATTCTATGTTGTCCCTTATGCCAGCCCCCGCCACCCCCCTCCTGAGATGGGGGGGAATATTTGGCAGATGGGAGAGAGGTGCTGAATTCCTCTGTGACTGCTAATTGCACCCCCCCAAACTCCTGTGCATTCATAGACACACCAGTTTTCAGCCAGGAAAGAGTTTTGTGAACCTTACTGACAAAAAAATGTTTCATTGGCTGTAAGCTTTTGTAAACTGAAGCCCACTTCTTCAAGGGCATCCCAAGTGAGCTACAACTCATGAAAAGCTTACAGCAGGCAAACAAAACCTAGCTACCCATATAGCTAGTTTTTAATCCTTTATTTTCATATTGTTCTGATTTTCTTGGAAATCTTGGAATCTGTGAGGGGAGTGGGGACTGATTGAAAATGGAAAACATTTTGTTAACGGCACACATTTATAGGGAAGGCTTCAAATGCTTAGGAAGAGCTGTATAGCCCCCTTTCCTAACCACCAGTTCTCTCCAAACATCTGCCCCCCATGATGCGCCATTCATAAGAACAGTATGGCCAAGACTGGGGTGATTAAATTGATGTATTTGTTTATTTTAGTAGGTTGCTTAATACTTGTGATACAGTAGTTATAGTAGCATAATGACTGATACACTTTAAATCAGAGGTCATCAACCCCTGGTTCGCGGCCCAGTGCCGGTCCACGGCCTGAGCTGGACTGGGCCGCGGAGACAGACCTCCTGCCCCCTGCACTCAGTCCCACCTGCACAGCTGCTTTATGCACGCATGTGCATGCCAGCGCCGGCATGAGCACTCCTCCACCCCTTCACGCATGCGCGTGCATGCCAGCGCCGGCATGAGCACTCCCCCACCCCTTTACGCATGCGCCTGAGCGCCCGAGCACCCGCGTGGTGGGCAGGTGTGCAGGCGCTCCTGTGCATGCATGAAGGGGTGGGAGAGCGCTCACGCCAGCAGCGGCAGGTGTGCACTCCCCCACTGCTTTGTGCATGCACCCGAGTGCATGCACACATGTGCCTGAGAGTGCGCACACACATGTACGTGTGAGCTTGGGGAGGGGCCCTGCCTTCCTTAGAGTCTCAGCCAGTCCGCAGTCCCAAAAAGGTTGGGGACTGCTGCTTTATAAACTATAGGTTTTAGAGCGCTCACGCCAGCAGCGGCAGGTGTGCACTCCCCCACTGCTTTGTGCATGCACCCGAGTGCATGCACACATGTGCCTGAGAGTGCGCACACACATGTACGTGTGAGCTTGGGGAGGGGCCCTGCCTTCCTTAGAGTCTCAGCCAGTCCGCAGTCCCAAAAAGGTTGGGGACTGCTGCTTTATAAACTATAGGTTTTTCTGAACTGTATATCTCTTGCCTTGGTCGATGAAACACGGGCTGAGGCAACAGCTGCGTATGGAAGAGGTATTTCTATTTTAATGTCAGTCAAAGACTGAAAAGCTTAGCAGTTTTGTCCAGTTCCGAACACAGAACGTTAAATACAGCACTGCAAATATTCAGAGTAACAATTCAACAGTTTCAGTATCTCTGCCCCAGGTTGCTGATACCACTTAATAAAAACTTGAACTTTCCTACGAGGGGAAATCAACTTTTTATGTCAGTTCAAAAGCATGTCACAGCTCCTTTAGTTTCTTTACCATCTGGAAGCAAAAAATTGGCCCTAGTTGTGTGATCGCATTTAACTCATTCCACAACAGAGCCCTGCATGTCTAATCTCATGTCACACTTTCACAGTGCAGCCCTCTCTGCCTAATGAATTAACATCTCCAGCCTTCTGATCCTTCCTCTCTCTTCTGTTCGCTGAGTGGTGATTAGCTGAGATGCAATCCTAGAAGGCGGTCAAACCTTCTGGACAAAACCTCTGGCTGTCAAGCTTTCCAGATTAACTTTGGAAAATGTACGTTATAAATGTAGTTATAAAGTGGTAGCCATGTTAGTCTATGCACATACGTCAGACAAGAAACAAACAAACAAAAAACACAAAGACAAAAGTGTTGGAGTGACTTAAAGACTAAGTGGCATAGTTTAATGTAACCTTTTGTGGATCAAATCCACTTCCTTAGACATAATAGACTTCAAGGCAAATGTTTAATACCTGGCCTCAAGATAAAGAGAGGTTGGTTAGTAGACACAGATTGTAAATTAAGTGAGTCAATGTGGCATTTCACACCTAGTAATGACTTAAGATATTCCTGTTAGATATTCAGATCCTTTCCTCTGAAGCTTTATTCTGTAAAAAGCAACCATGGTTAGTGGGTAAAGGAACCCCAGATTATGGATAACGACAGCAGAAGCAACATAATAATTGCGGCATTACACATATGGTAGTGAGTTAAGAATCTCTGACTTTACCTTTGAAGCTTGTTCTGTAAAAATAAATAAATAAAAGTGGCAGTGGTTAGCTGGGAATGAACATACTGTAGGGTATAGAATATAACAGCAGATAGCAACATAATTATTGTAATATTTTACATTTGGTAATGGCTTAAGAACCCTTGACAAATATTGTGTATATGTCTATATAATGTATCCTTGTTCTGTAATGTTTCTTCTCAATGATTGCAACTTCCAAATCTCATGAAGGGTGTTTGGTTAGATTGAATGGATTTGAAACAAGTTTTTATATATTGCCTGATGTCTGATTTATGTCCATTTTTGAACAGAACAAGCTCCAAAGACAGTTGCTAATTCCTATTTAACCTTGGCTGTTTCCAAATCTTAAAATACTTGTATGGCAATAGATTTCTGGAAAGTTCGATTTGCGTTAGAGGCTTTTGTTCAGCAAAACAGGCTAAAATGACCCTATCGCATTGCTTCCTGCCAAGTTGCTTTTTCCTCTTCCAAAACATACAGTACAGATTCTGGAATTTGAAAATATCAGCTGTCAGTAAAGCTACCTCATTCTCATGAGAACAGGCATTTTCAATTTGTGACTAAATGAATAGGCATATTGTAGTCAGGCTACGGGTAGTTGGTCCATCCTTTCCTGCCATTTTTTCCTAGTCTCAGGCAGGTGGTCCAGACTAGCAGGAGGGGCTCTGAGGCCCCATAAGGCCATCACACATATGTCTGGCATGGGCTGCCGTCAGCTGGATGGGGGCACCCATCGTGCAGAGCTGCAAAAGGTCCCCCAGATTTGCTGCAGCACAGAAGGAATAAACGCTTTCTGAAGTCCACAAAAAGAGCCTGCTACTTTACTGCAGCTCTGTTTTCATGCAGTTGATAGGAACCAAACACATCTGGATCAAGCAGACACTGTTCGCAACCAAGCAGTGAAAACTTTCATTTTCATTCCTTTGTGCGGTTAAAGACAGGAGGATAAAAAGTTGCAACCCTACAAGCAATTATTTTCGAAGATGCGTTTTTGCTATTTTTTTCCCAAAATACAGGATGTCTGGACTTTTATAGGTACAAAATAGCCAGCCTGGAAGCACATTTTAAATATCGGAGCTGTGAGTTTATGAGAAGCTAATTTGTGTGTGTGTGTGTGATAATTTTGGGTCTGGTCTTTTTCTGAAGTAGAGAATGCAAAAGTAAATTAGCGGCAGTTTGGCTTCATACGCTGAACAGTTCCTTTGGTATCTCCAAAAGGGCAGCTGGGCTGAGGTTCAAATAATAGAAAAATGTGCATAGAAAATGAACTGATGAATTGTTTGAATACAGGAGACATAATAAATCAACAGTTTTAAAACACTGGTTTATAGCTGTGCTATGAGAAGAGTTAAGGATTCCTATTAGTAGTTCGTCTTGAACCTTTGACCTGGAAGTCACGGTCTCTGTGATGTGTCTGGATTTTGTCATGGAGGCTACGAAGGCAAAAGCACTTCCACATTTCCAAGTTCCATTTTGCAATGTGAGCATACGCGATGGCAGTGTGGAAACTCTGAAGAGATCACAGATCCCACAGTGTCTCCGTTTCATGGAACATCTCCCCACCTACTGCTTTGCCATTGTGAATCAGACTGGAAAGAGAGGAACCGAGAGTTGAGTCTCCATGTAAAGAGGAAGAGAGTACGGATTCTGTGCATGGACACAGAAACTTTGTTCGCTCAGAGAGAATCAATTTGCACCCATCGTTTCAGATCAGAACCAGACCTACTGTTGGGTGTGTGTCTGAAAGGCAATTTCATCAGGGGACAGATAACTGCTGATCCCCCAGCTGTTCCCCTATGTTAGGAAACAAAGCTCCTCTGTGCCACACAACTGGACTCCATAAACTAGCCTTCCGTTTTTAGATGCAGTGTGAGACAACTGTCCCATTGCTAGCATTGAAGTTAAGTTTGACGGCCGGCCCAGTTCACTTAGGCATGTTGACAGGGTGCGGCACCTTGCTGTTGGTCTCCAGAAGTCGAATGTCTTATGCCAGCTGAGCTTCGTGCTACAGGTAAAACTTGAAGGATAAAACCCTTCATGCTGCAAAATAGGGAGGGAAATCCAGACAGAGATGTTACAGTCCAGACCTGGCTTTCTGCTCCCCTTGGTGCAAACAGGCCAAAGACTTTAATTGTTGATCGTTCACCCCATGATACAAAGATTTGTAAAAGGAAAGGAAGGTGGGAGGGAAAATAGGGAACCAGACAGAGTGATGGCTACTTGTGACACACCATCATTTCACATGTCACAAAAGATTTTAGTCAGCATTCTGTAGTGTCGCTTTCCGTACCCCCAGCTCATGTTCTTGCATAACACTGTGTCCCATCTCTAATGGTCAGTGGAGGCTGGCAGGATGTTCTCCACCCGGTGACAAAGTCAAGTCTTTTATGTAGTTCCTTTCTTGCATAATCCAATTATATTTTGCTGGCTTTCTCCTTGTGACCAGCAAATAGGAATAGACAGATAATAAAACATTACACCTGGAAGTATGTAAATGTTTGGGTACACCCCTGCTTGCTGCTCCCCTGTGCCTCCAACCTCCTGATACTACTGCTGGAGCTTTTGAGATGCCTTCTTGTGTTTATTACGTTCTATTTATTCGTATGGGTTGCAACGAGCCAGCACAAGTTGATCCTTCCTGGTTTTGGATTAACTGCTGCCCAGTGCTTCCTGTCCACTTTACTGAAGGCTAAACACAGTTCAAAGTCACAGCCAAAGCAGTCCCATTAAATGAACGAGACTTGTTAAGTCCCCATGGATTCAATGGCTGGCATCCTCTTCATGGGCAACTGTATGAGCATTCTTCCTGCTCTGACAGGTTTTCCTCTGCATGTTGTGTTTTGACAGGGAGCCTGCCAGGATGGGCAGAAGGACCATTTACCCAGTAGATAAAACATCCTCAATGAATACAAAAATTTAAATTGAATTTGCACTTAAAGGTTTAATAAGTGGCTTTGAATTTGAAGGATATCAAAGTAATCTATGCTCACTAACATTGTTTCTCTCTTTTTGCTGTTTTTTTTAAGTAGTGGGAAGAATGCTTAAGTAATAGGTCCCTGAATGAGTCACAGGGTGGGGAAAGGAAGTGTTTGGTTCCTGTTTCCTATGTAAAAAGGATCGTGGCCTCTCGTCATTACTTTTACTCTATATAGCTAGCTCACCTTCCTCAGTTGGGTGCTTCGTTCCACTTAAGATGACGGCGGTTCTTCTGCTAGTGAATGGGGTTGGCCTTCTTAGCTTCTGGCTGTCTGTGGGTAAGTCCAAAATACTTCAGAATTTTGATCTATTACTAGAGGGAATTTGCGGGCTGACCAATTGCCGTCCCTCAGCTGGCATAACCAAAGAGTCCGACATAATGGGCATGGAATGTTGCAGGGTTATCTTCGTGAAAACTGTATGATGGCTTTTGGATGGTTGTATCCCAAGCTGGTAAGCATTGGTAGCTCTTATGAGCACCTTCATTTATCTAGTTTTGCATTGTGCAGGAGCCTCTGAAAGGCAGCAGCTTTCTATTCCAGCACAGTTATGTTTGCCAGATTCAACACACTGTACCTTTTAAATTATATCAGTTATTTTCTACAGTAACGGTGTGTACCTTTGGCCCTCCAGATATTTTAGAGGACACCCCCTCAGTCTTTTATCAGTAGTCGGGCTGGCTGGGGATTCCGGTACAAGATGTTCATACATCTGGAGGGCCAAAATGTCTCCACCCCATACTGTAGCGAAGTGCTGACCAAATTGCCTTTGAAGCTTGTTCTGTTCTTGAGGGGTGTGGTGGTGAAGATTATAAACACCTCTTCTATTTATGCATCCAGTGAACAAAGCATAATCCTACTTTTCTGTGAAATTGCTTGCTATGTTTTTTTGTGTGTGTGTGAGATCTGAATCACCAAACCATGTTTTGAGACTAGTTGGCATGCACCGAGCCATGGCACTGGGACGTAGGAACAGCAGGCAAGAGCAGGTAGAAAATGAAAGTGGGCCATCTGCTCGCACTGGAACCTCCCCAATTATGGCCTCCTCCCCTTCCCCACTTTATTTATTTATTTATTTATTTATTTGTTTGTTTGTTTATTTAACATGCTGTTGCTGTTTTAATGTTGCTCATATCCTCTGTCTTCCCGCCCACTGCTCTGCTGTTATCGTCTTCCATGTTGGGATGTTCCACGGCTAGGATAAGATAAGATAAAAGGAGGCATGCAGGAAGCATGGTTCATCATCAACAGAGAATACCTCATGCCTATCCTCTGTTTATGAGCCAACTCATCATTCATCTCAACCAGTGAGAGATCCCGGTTCAGGTATTGGACCTGGGACTTCAAAGATTCATCTATCTATCTATCTATCTATCTATCTATCTATCTATCTATCTATCTATCTATCTATCTATCTATCTATCTATCTATCTATCTATCTATCTATCTATCTATCTATCTATCTATCTATCTATCTATCTATCTATCTATCTATCTATCTATCTATCTATCTATCTATCTATCTATCTATCTATCTATCTATCTATCTATCTATCTATCTATCTATCTATCTATCTATCTGTCTGTCTATCTATCTGTCTGTCTGTCTGTCTGTCTGTCTGTCCCTCCGTCCATCCCTCCGCCCACCTGTCTGTCTGTTTAGTCTACTGCTCCCATTAGTGCCAAAGCACTACTCCAGATGGGTGACAATAAAACACACACACTTGAAGTAAAGGGATGTAATAAAAACAATAAAACCATAAAACCATATAGGCAATGGAACAGAGAGCGCCAGAGCAATAATGGGTTCCTGTCCCCACCATTCCACTGAGGGAGCTGAGGCTCCGCCTGCTCTGTCAGCTAACCTACCTCACAGGGTTGGAGTGAGAATGAAGCGGGAAGGAGAGCGCCGGCTGGCCTGCCTTGAGCAGGACACAGAAGTGTTGGATACAATGAAGCACAGAAAGGAGATAATTTCAATCCCTAACATAGTGTGCTAGAAAAAACACACGTTGTAACGGTTGATGGTGAGAAAATGTTTTCAAGTAATCATGTGTAAAACTACTGTACATGGACTCTAGTTCTCCTTCCCGCCCCTGCAGCCCTCTATAGCCCCGCCCACTTAGTTTTCTTTCAAAGATCCTCTAGTGTTTAGAGCAGATTGTCAGAAGCTAAATGAAGGCAGAGGGAATCACCCGTCCAAGTGAGATGAACTGCAAAATTCCACAGAGGTGGGAGTAGGAATAGAAGCCTAAGGCTTGGCCTGAACTGATTTTGCTGTTGTTGTTTAATCGTTTAGTCATGTCCGACTCTTCATGACCCCATGGACCAGAGCACACCAAGCCCTCCTGTCTTCCACTGCCTCCTGGAGTTAGGTCAAATTCATGTTGGTACCTTCAATGACACTGTCCAACCATCTCATCCTCTGTCGTCCCCTTCTCCTCTTGCCTTCACACTTTCCCACCATCAGTGTCTTTTCCAGGCAGTACAAATTGATATTACTGGTCACCTAGTCCAGTGGTCCCCAACCTTGGGCCTCCAGATGTTCTTGGACTTCAACTCCCAGAAATCCTGGCCAGCAGAGGTGGTGGTGAAGGCTTCTGGGAGTTGTAGTCCAAGAACATCTGCAGGCCCAAGGTTGGGGACCACTGACCTAGTCCCAATAGTAAAGGTGGCATGTGTGGGAAAAGTTCAATGTGTATTGTGGGTAGTCACCATTGAGCTCGTATTTTAGTTTTAATGTTATTTATAATTTTCCTTTTATTAATAAATTTTTTAAAGAAAATAAAATATTTAGAATCTATAATATTTTAATTTTACCAGTCCATAATATTTTATGACATTCTCTTTTATCCTAATTGACATATTTTTTAAAAAACTTATATTCCAGATTTTTCCCCAATCCTCTTCATCTATCTTCCCTATATCTGTCTCCCTTAAATCTAACTCTTCCTCCTGATCCAACAAGACTATATAAATTACCCCTTTTCTTCCTTTCTGTTTTTCCCCATCTATTTCTTTTTCCAAAATCTTATAATTTCTTCAAACTTGGTCAATTTTCTATCCTCTAGTTTTAATTTCTCACTCTGTATAAACCCTTTTTTGTGCTAAATACCACATTTTTATTTATCCTAGCTCTTCCCCCCATTACAATTATTCCTTTATTATTTGTTGTAACTCCTTTAATCCCTTCCCTAAAAAATTAATTGGAATCATCCTAAACATAAAATTTAGAGAATAGTTTCATTTTACACATTGCAATTCTACCAAACCAATATAACTTCAACCTTTTGTATTTCTTCAATATATCTTTACTTCTTTCTTTATCCTTCCCATATTTATTTTCTTTAAATCTTGTATTCCTTTTGTAAAATCTATACCCAGATACCTAATGAACCCTGTCTCCTTAAATTTAGCTTGTTTTTCCTATTTCTTCTCTAGAATGATTAGATTTATTCCAGTTGATTGTTAATCCACTTAATTCCTTAAAATCCTTTAGGTGCTTTTGCATCCTATCTATAACTTTTACTGGGTTTTCCATCCATTAACAAAGTGTCATCCACAAATAGACTTATTTTAGTTTTCTGCTGGAATCCAATCCCTTTTATTGTTTTATATGTTCTTATTGAATTCACCAATAATTCCATTATTAACACAAACAATATCTCGGACAGGGACATTCCTGTCTTGTTCTCCAACTTAGGTTTATTATTTCCATAATACCATCATTTACTATCACTATTCTATATTACCAGAATATAATTGTTGTACAACATTATTAAATTTGGTTCCAACCCTCATTTCTTTTATCTTTAGTGTTAACCATTCTACACAATCAAAGGCTTGGAGTACATCTAATGCTAATATACCTGCTTTTTATCTATGTTTTGCTATATAATAATTTATATTTATAGCTCTCCTAACCAGATCTGGCATTTGTCTACCATCTGTATAGTCACAGTTTCTGCATATTTATCTATAAATTTATTCATTTTTCTTGCTCAAACAGCTGTAAATATCTTTGTATTCCTGATTTATTAGTGATACTGGTCTGTAGGAGCCTGGATCTGTAGCATCCTCAGTTGGTTTGAGTATTAGTATTATCCTAGTTTATTTCCAAGAGGGAAGAATTTCTCCTTCATCTAATATTTTATTAAATAATACTTTCAACTTTGGTACCACCAAGTTTTTAAAAGCTTTATAATATTCTGCACTTAAACCATCTATCCCTGGAGCTTTATCTATTTTCAATTTATTTGTTACTTCTAATATTTCATCTTCTGGAATTTGTGATTCCATCCTCTCTTTATCTTCCTCCTGTATTTTACAACCTATATATGTACAGTATATATTTCTACATATGTAGTAATCCTGTCTAGCAGTATTTATTCTCAGTATATATATCTTTTAAAATTTTTTGAAAAACCCTAAGTTTGCCATAATTTCCATCAACACATTTCTTTCTCTATACTTTAAATACCTTCTCTCTAGTGCCATAATTTCTTCCTCAAACTCTTTCATTCTGTGCTCTTTTGATTTTTTAAAATTATGTGGATGTTTTATACTTACATAATCATTGCCGTACTGCTTTTAAGGTGCTTTTATTTTCATGGACAGTGTCACATTTCTGGGGGTTTTAACAGGCAAAAGTCCAATAAACTAGTCCAATATCAGAAGTCCACTAGATGCAAAACAGATACCAAAAATGCCACAGCCAAAATACAAACTATAGTCAAAAGTCAGAGTCCAAAGCCAAGGGTCCAGAAGACAAGGTCCAAGATGAGCAGGAGCATGGATATGAGCCAGAGGAATTGACTTGTTGCTTCCACGAGCTTCTCAGCCATCTGGTAGCTGATTATATATCAAAACAGTCATTGAACTGCTTGAAGCCTTTCATTCTGTCAAAACTCAGGACTAGCTGACCGGATGTTTCTGCGGGCAGCATTCAGGTGATTCTCTGACCATTGCGTCAAAAGTCTTTGCTGTAGCCTAGCCCTTACCTTGGCTACTGGGGGAGGAGAATCTGGTGGCAATTCAGCTGTCTGTGCTTCTAATCGCTCAGCATTCTCCTCAGCTATAGTTAACCCCTCAGGTTCCAAATCTTCGGCTGAACTCATGACAGACAGCAACACTGGAAAAGGGCAAGTATGTCAGGCAGGCAGGCAGGCAGGCACACAGACACACCCACTTACCAAAGAAACCACCACCAACACAACACCAAGAACAAGAAAGAAATGCTGGAAGTGTATGTGCATGGTCGTTTTCCAGACAGCAGAGGAGAGGAAGGCTTTTATGGGACCACTCAAGAAAGACCGTATTATTAAGTCACACTAGAGTAGGCCCATTTATAAACCACAAGGGGTGATTTAATTACATCAAATGGTACTCAAGTGAGGCTGGTCAAAGGCCTTCTCCGCATCCTGTTGTTGCCTCACCTATTTCATCCTTTCTTCTTGCAGCGTGGGCCTGTAATGTCACCATTCACCCAGAGAATCCTGCTGTGATGTTTGGGGGCCCTGTGGATCTAAACTGCACTACTTCGTGTACCAATTACACCGGTCTGAACTGGGAGGTATCTCTTGAAGCTAAGATCCAGGAGGGAAATGGGTGGATTTCTCTGGCGATGAAAAATGTGGAAGAATGGAAAGCTCAACCATTGTGCTGGGTCAAATATGAAGACTCTCTTTTACTCTCCACCAGGGCAGTACTCTATGTATATGGTAAATATTCATTAAATTTTGAAGCTGGTAGGCATATAGAAGCCATGATAAACATCACCATAGTTAACATCTATCAAGAGGCATTTTCTTTCTCTTCTTCTTCCTATTCTTCCTTTTCTTTGTCACAGCAGTTAACACTATTATGAATAGTCACTGGACTCAAGTTGATTCCAGTGACTATTTATAACACTAGCTTACCACCCTAAAATAGTTCACAATTGTATTCAAATGCTTTTACCCAGGGTCCATTTGCCCATACATCACTTTAACACATTTTCCTGTATATTAATGGCTGAAATCTTGTTGCTTAGCTTAGTAAGTCACACTAGAGTAGGCCCATTGATTCAATGGGGATTTGGTGAGTTGACTTCTTGGTAAGTTTAATTTATTCAAATCGTGTTGCTCTAGCTGTGGCCTCCTTTAGCAATAGATTGAACCCTCTTACAATGTTAACCTATAAAACTCTAAACAGCTTGGGAACAAGCTATCTCATGGACCCTGTTTCCCTTGATGAGTCTGGCTGGGTGTTAAGATCATCAGGAAAGGTCTTTCTCTCAGTCTCATCACTGTCAGAGGTGTACTTGATGGGGACATGGGAGAGGGGCCTTCTCTGTGGCTGCTCCCAAACTCTGGAACTCCCTCCCAAAAGAGGCCAGGCTGGCCCCATCTTGGCTGTCCTTCCACAAGCACAGACCTTTCTCTTCAAGCAGGCTTTTCCTTAATGACTGGCTGTCAGGGAGGAGTTTTAAAATGGCATGTATACCTTATTGCTTTGAATGTGGTCCCAGTGTTGATTTTGTTTACCATTTTTTGGTGTGATATTTGATTTTTTAAAAAAATCTTTGTATACTTACTGTTTTTAGCTTTTAAATGTCTTTTAATAATGTAAGATGCTTTGGGTCCATTTTTAGGAGAAAGGTGGAGTAAAAATACTATAAGTAAATAAATAGTGATAAATCACAACTTGGAAGTAATGTACAGTATTACTACAAGTTAAACTAGGTGGACGAATCGCCCAGATAGGCAGGGTATAAATTAATAAATAATAATAATAATAATAATAATAATAATAATAATAATAATAATAATAATAATAATAATAATAATAATAATAATAATAATAATAATAATAATAATAATAATAATAATAATAATAATAATAATAATAATAATAATAATAATAATAATAATAATAATAATAATAATAATAATAATAATAATAATAATAATAATAATAATAATAATAATAATAATAATAATAAAGTTACCCTTGCTCCTGCTATTTTGGGAGAGTGCTTAAATGGTTTGGGGCATTCTGGTGGCTTGTGTTTTTTTTTATGGGCCATATTTTTATGCTTTCAGAGCATAACAATGCTATAAATGATCACCAACATATTTTGTGCCCTCCCTAATGCCTACTGATCATAACACACTGAAATGTTAGTGCCCTTAAACAACACAGTTTCCTCTCTCTCTCTCTTTCTCTCTTAATAGTCAGTAAAGGGTCCCCGCTGGAAAGCTTTTTTTTGCCAGTTTTCCAGACAGTAAGGTCTAAGCCCCTTCTATTTGTTCACTGATCCTACATACATTTCCAGGCATCCAGAAACGAATCAGTTCATTTAAATGAATATGTCTTTATCCATCGACTTCCACTTCCTTTCCACATAGCTGGGAACAAACGTCCAGCCTTGTAAGGTTCCTTATGTATTTTGCAGGTCTGCTAAACCAGATGTTACCAGCTGTAAGCCTAAGCAAAATAATTGCACCTAGATTTGCCTGATTTTTATACTATCAGTTTGAGCTCATAAAGTAGAGCTCATAACGTAGAAACGCCTAGGAGGTGGCAGTAGTCCAACAGGGCTGTAGATTGCCTATTCATTAGACTACCAGGCTCAAGTTTGTGACCAGAGGAAGTTTGTGGACCAAGACGGAAAAGATGTGACACACCCCAAATTAAGCCCCCCCCCCCGTCGTGAGTCACTTGTTTTCAGCAAGCACTTTCTCTGACAATGAGCTCTATCAACAACAAAGGAGTCACCGAAAGCGTTTGGACTGCTTTTACCTTCCTCTGCTGAGGAACAGATTGTCCTGCTTATATAAGGGTGAGGCTGCTAGGAATGTGCCGCCTGGAGGAGAATTTTTTTGGACTCCAGTTTCTAGAACATTACAGGAATTCCCCATGCAGATTTCTGGGAGTTTCAGCCCACATAGCCATACTACAGAGAGCTACAGGTGTTTACATTTCACCTGCCTGGACCAGAGTCCGTCTCTAAGGCTGCATTGCTTTCAGAGGCAATAAAATATTTTTACCCCTCCTTTCTCCTAAAAAGGACCCAGGGCAGCTTACCTCAACAAAAGTAGCTGCTATGATATTCCTGGGAGTGGTAGTTTCACTGTCCTTTAGTCTCTATAGAGAGTGCCTCATAGTAATGGTAGAAGAACTACCACTCCCAAGAAGCACCACGGCAGCTTTCTTGGTTGTACGTGAACAGCAGGAAGTAAGGAAGAGCTGTGCAAGAGGACCATGTTAAGATAAAAGGCCTTGGCATTGTGCTGAATACTAAACAGTGGAACTAAAGCACTGTTGGGATGTTTTGTTCAGAAACTAAATATCTACCGGCTATTCATTCATAACTGTGATAGTTCCACAAGCGTCACGTTCATATTGTATGATAAGAACATCATCTACAGTATTTTTTTTGAGAACCCCATCAGAGCTTAGCTGTAATAGGTCAAAATTAGCAATATTACCCAGAGCGAGTATTTTTTAATGTTCTGGTGCATTAACACTTTTGTAAGCAATATAAAAAACAGATAATATTGTTACTTTTTAAAAATGTAGCAAATATAGTCCTTACTTTTAAAAAATATTTTTTGGGAGGTTGCGGGATGGATAAATTTCATTTTTCTTGAATCTTAAAGCGAAATTGAAAATAAGTAAAAGTCAAATAGGTTTCTAATAGTTAAAAACAGTATCACTAAAATATAGTATATGTTAATAGGACCAAGTAATAGTTAACAGTAACTGCTATGAAAACAAGCAAAATGTTACTTTTAAAAGAAAATTATAAATAATGCTAATGCCTTACTTAAAAAAACAAAAAACTCAACATTCCAGGTCTAGGGCAGTGGTTCTTAACGTGGGCGGAATAATGCTAATGCCTTACTTAAAAAAAAAAACCAAAAACTCACCATTCCAGGTCTAGGGCATTGTCAGGTCTAGAAGGTGACGAAGTCTCAGATATCCTAGTTATGTTTGATCAACTAGATTCCATTTAACGGCCCTAAATGTTATCCATCCATATCTTTGTTTCCCTTCCTCTTGAAAGAATTCTCAACACCCACTATCCAGCTGGCTTCTGAGATTCAGCAAGGCCATTCAGAGAACATTGTGTGCAATATTCCTCGCTTGAAGGTGAGAGACTCCACATCACCTCATAGGAACATCTCCTTGAGCAGAGGCCCAGATGTTCTCAGCAGCAACAATAACAAATCGTCTCTGGAGTACAGCTTTGTGGCCGACCTTCAGAAAGATGACCGGACTGAGATCATTTGTGAAGCCTATGTCCAGGTGGGCTCAGAAGTGCTGAGAAAACAGACGAGGAGAGTTTTGAATGTTGTGGGTAAGTTTGCTTTGCTTTGCATTGCAGCAATCTCGCTCTGCCCGTCTTCCAAGGCTCAGGGGGTCAGGCTGGAATCAATGAGGTCCAGTTATTTCTGACAATATGTTCGGCGCTGGACCATGCAATATCCCCTGTAAGCTGCGTGGTTGCACAGCACTGCATCAGTGCTGAGCCCGTGCAGCCAGTGTGGTCGCCCATTTGGTTCAAGTAGTGGCCGGAACTTTGTGTGTGCAGGGTGGGGTTTCCACTGGTGGAAAACTGAATTTTATTAGAGAACAATGGAAACAGTCCAATACAGACATAATGATCAGAATAAAACACAAGAGAATGGAAATGACCACCGTAAATTGATATTGATTAACATAAGCTTCCTAGTAGGTACTGTAGGACTGCAGTAATCATGGGGGTGGGGTCGGTTCCAAGCTTGCTGAAAAATGCAGAAGTATCAAACATCATACAGTATGTAGTACATTGCACTGTCTATAGCTCCCCATAGTGGCCAGTTCTGGTAACTATACCCTGGAAATACATATACTGTACTGTAAATAAGTATGGGGGTGTTATTTAGTACAGTATTCAGTATTTTCTGCCAGTGGATAATTGAATCAGTGGATACTGCTCCTGTGGATATGGAGATCCTACTGTAGTGTTAATTAAGGTTCAGTTGCACAAGATAGTTACTCCTCCTCAAAATGTTAGATCAATATTTTCTGCTTAACACAGTCTTGGTTGACGGCATAAGTAGGGTTGCCAGACGTCTGGCAAAAGGAGGACATGTCCTCCTTTTTAGCCTGATGTCCTCCGTTTGGCAGGCAAAGATAAAAACCTTTAAAATGTCAGGCTTTTGTATATTTTATGTTATAATTTTGGATGGGAAGGGGAGAGGTGGAAGGACCCCCCTTCCCCCTGTCTTTTTGTGGGTTTGGGTACAATTGGCTGTTTAAATAATGTTTTTTTGTATGGGGGGGAAGCCTCCATTTAATTTATTTTTATTCTTTCACATGACTGTTTCTTGGTTGGTTCACTAAGAGACATTTATTGGCAGCTACTCTAATAGGTCTAGATGGGCAGGATAGAACTCTAAATAAATAAATAAATAAATAAAAACTTTCCAAACACCAAACTGAAGAAGAAAAACAGACACCCACAAATAAAGTATTTCTGCCATACATTAAAGGGGTCATGGACCGTATGGGGAAACATTTGAAAAAACGCAATCTACAAACAGTATTCCAGCCCATAAATAAATAAATAAAAATGTATTGATTGCAGGTTTAATCCGGAATGATTCCAATGAAACATTCAATACGTCCTCCTCTGTCCTCTTTTTTGTCTTTCTATGTCCTCCTTTTGGTACCCATGTATCTGGCAACCCTAGGCATAAGTGAACTGCTGTTCCTCATAGTCCGCTCTGGAAAATCATTAGGTTGCAGACAGTGAAGCAGTAATACATACTCATCTGCACGAATGAGGTGTTTGAAAATAAGTCTTTATTTTTGTTAACTCCAAGAGCAATGGAGTACTCTTATTCTGTTTTGCTATGGAATTCTTTGAAGTTCTTTGGTCAGGAGACAGGATTCAAGCTTAATTTGGTGCGGCACCCATTTATTTGTCTTTCTGACAAGTCTATAGCACCCATAAAATTTTCCTCCAACACTACCTTTTGAATGAATCTTTTTTTTTCCTCATCAGTTTTCTTTCACATCCATACCTTGTGTGAGTGGGCATATCAGAATAGAATTGATCTTGGCCTTAGTCTCCAGTGACCCTTCCTGACACCTGAAAATCTTTTCTAGGTACCTCATGGCTGCCCTCCCAAGCCTCAGCCTCCTTCTGATTTCTTGGCTTAATCCTCTATTTGGACTGATGACGGAACCCAGCTATAGAAAATCTCTAATTATTTCACTTTCTTCATCATCCATTTCACATAATTCTTCTGTAGTTATCATTTTTGCCTTCTCAATAGCCAGCTGTAATCCTGCTTTTACTTTTTTGGCTCTAACCCTCCTCAGTAGCCATTTCAAGCCGCTTTCTGCAAGTAATATGGTGTCATCTGCACATCTTAAATGATTTGGATTTCCTCCACCATCTCCCACTTCTTCTTCATAGGAATCAAATCCAGCTTTTTGTATGGTATGTTCTAAACACAGGTGGAACAGACAGTGAGACAAAAGATACCCTGTCTACCACCTTACCCTGTGGGAAATCAATCTGTTTCTCTGTATTCTGACAATAGGTTCTTGTCCAGAGTATAGGTTACATGTCAGCGCACTCTCAAATCTTGTGGCATATATATTTCTTTTAGAATGATCCATAGCTTTTAATGCTCCATACAACTGAAGGCTTTGCTGTAATCTATAAAGCATCAAGGGATTTACTTCTGAAATTCTTTGGCATGCTTCAATATGCAGTAGTACCTCAGTTTATGAAACGGATCTGTTCTACGCGACCTTACGTAGTACGGAAATTTTACAAACCGAAATGCCAATTGTGCTACGAAAGGGGCGGTGCTATAGGCACAATGCACCCCGGGAAAACCCTTTCATAGTGCGAAAAAAAGAAAAGAAAACAACATAAACTGGGGCTTTATTTCTTATGGATTTCAGTTTGTAAACTGAAAATTACGTAAACTGAGGCATTCGCAAACCAACATACTACTGTATTGCATATATTGACTACTGTATATGATCTCTTTTGTCACCTTCTTTTCTGACTCAAGCTTGAACATTTGGTATTTCTTGCTCCAGATATGCCTTTGTTGCAAAATCTTGAGCATCCTTTTGCTTGCTGGAGAAAATACCATCATGGTGACCATATCATCAGAATGCTTATGCTAACCATCAAAGGCTTAAATGGTGTGAATTTTATGATTTTTTTAACACATGAAAATTCTGTCCAATATTAATAATACAGCTGTCATTTTCTCTATCTTGTTTCACTTTGTTCCTTCCAATAATTAGTGGCTGAAATCTTGTTGGGCAGCTCCCTGTGTGCATCTGTGATGAAATAATCAGCAATGGCAAATTGCCACTGGCTAGAAGCTTCCTTTGGAAATTTCTGGGCATATGTTAATTGGTCACGTTACATACCTCAGAAGCTGGATTTGCCTTTAATCAGTGGTTATTTGCCACTGATGATGACACAATTCCCATTGCACACATGGAGTTGCATTGCAACATTTCAGCCACTGTGTATGCAAACCCATCAAACTATAGGACCTACTCTTCCGTTATACTGGACTTCAGGACTTTTTCCTACTTGAGGCATGTATATCAACTTGTCTGTGCTTGAATGTACCTGCCACCCACCTTAGAAAGACTTTTTGCAACTAGCATGAAACTCTCTGTACAGTAATCCCGGGGGGGGGGGGGTCAACAACCATTACGAGCCATTGACTGACCATCCTTATGGTAGACTTTCTGTATTTTTATATGCCTTTCCTCCCCATGGCAGGATAAATGTCTGGCTACTGAAGGTCCACTCTATGCATCAGTAGAAATGGACTACAGTCCATGCAAACCTCTGCCAAATAAAACTTGCTAGTCTGAAAGGTGTCAATGTGCCAAGGTGATGAAGCTTTACCCTGGTGCCATAGTCAGAGGAGCTAAGGTGTCACAGGAATGATGTTGCTTTTGCTGCCACAGACTAGCAGACTAACCTTGTTGATTTTTCCCTCTGTCCAATAGCTGGTTTTAAAATCACTACAAAACACATGCAAGCTGCCCGATGATTGTATATACTGTGCGCCAAAACAGCTAAGAGTCTTGCGACACTGGTGTGTTACAGCACAAGCATTTTTGACAGTATATCCTGACCAGGAATGATGTTGCTTTTGCTGCCACAGACTAGCAGACTAACCTTGTTGATTTTTCCCTCTGTCCAATAGCTGGTTTTAAAATCACTACAAAACACATGCAAGCTGCCCGATGATTGTATATACTGTGCGCCAAAACAGCTAAGAGTCTTGCGACACTGGTGTGTTACAGCACAAGCATTTTTGACAGTATATCCTGACACTGTTCACTTTGCCTGAGCTGCCACAGAGGGCACGGACTAATTCTGTTAAGGGAGGTTAGGATGCTGAGTGTTTTATTCTTTTCTCTTTGGCTCTGACATAATTGGAGTTCATATGTGCCTGGCCTGGCCCTCTGAGCCAAGAAATGTGGCGATGTGCCAAGGTGATGAAACTTTACCCTGGTGCCATAGTCAGAGGAGCTCCCATCTACTGCTCTTTAGGACCAGTCACATATATTTTAGCAGTGTGCCATCAAAGCAAGAGAAAGTGTGCTGTTTATATACTGCTCCATAGTATTTAATGTACTCTCTGGGTGGATGGAAGGCTGAGTGAACCTTGAGACAGATACCTGAGCCTGTTGGGATCAAAATCGAATCATTAGCAGAGTCTTGACTGCAGTGCTGCAGTTTAACCACTGCTCTGCAAGGCTTGGTGTCATCCTTCTCGATCAGTGATTCTTGGGTCTTCATATGTTCTTGGACGACAGTTGCCAGAAAATTCTGGCCAGAACAGTTAGTGGTGAAGGGTTCTGGGAGTTTTAGTCCAAAAAATATGGAGATCCAATGTTGGGATCCACTCAATGGCCAGGTGATGAAAGGGCTATCAAACTGCTCTCATTGATGAAAATAAATTATGTCTGTTTCCACAGTGTGATTTGAAAGTCATTAGTGAACTTCTGTTTTCCTGAGATCCTTTAACGACCTATCCATGTGCTAAGATAACCAAACCTTCTACAGTTCATGGACTCCTGTGTTTCTTATTGTAGCCAGTCCTTTCAACGTCAGCGTCTCAGCAAATCGTGAGAGGTACAAAACAAATGAGAACATTAAGGTGACATGTAATGCTACAGGCAAACCCTTTCCGGAGTTTTCGTGGCATCTCCCTTCCACAGAGGGTGTGGAATTCTCAGACAACAACCGGACCATTGAGATATCTTCAGCTCAGAGTTCCCATAATGGGACATACCTATGTCTGGCCAATAATATTTATGGCAAGAAATCGGCACGAGTGGACATCGTCTTTGAAGGTGAGGTGGAGGTGGCTCTCAGGCCTTGGATTTTAATTGGTGCATTTTAGCCTCTTTTAGTACAAAGGTCAAACTGGATGATGCATTTAGCATACTTTTAGAAGAGGTGTTCCTCAAATGGTGAAAATGTACTCTTTGTCACAGCCTGCAATTGTCCTCAACTGCATGCCATGCACGTAGCATTCTTTGTTTTAGGACTGATTACAGCAAGGTGATTGTGGGCTTCATTTGCAAGTCTAGTTGTTCTGGCACATATCTCTGAGGAAATCCCAAGGGAGAAAATGAGTGAATGGTAGGGAATACACATTCCGCTTGACATCCAATTTGACCATAAGTTGTTGCTTCCTCGCAAAAGTTGTGCATGCATTGAAGGGTATGTAGGATGTAATTATGGTGCTGTAATAATCCTGAAGAGAATCACCCAGGAGAATTTCCTAGAAAAAGAACAGAACAAATTTATGCAAATTAAGCAAAATATACCTGCTAAATAAAGGTCATAGAATTCAAAATTTGGGGGACAGAAAATGTTTTTAACACAGGATAATCACTGACTGAGAAGAGATCTCTCAAAAATATGAGAGTTACGCAGAACCTTTGGGGCTGAGAGGCAATATAAAAAAATTGTTTACCTCGGTCTCGTTCTGATTGATTGCTAGGAGCCACAAGTGGGATTCCAGTTAATTCATCCCACCCTTGTGTGGCTTTCCCAGATCATCTCCCTGCCTGCTGCCACAGGGAAGGGGAAGGTGTTGACCCAGAGCTTTGAAAACCTGCATCTTTTGGCATTACAAAGTCCCTGAATTCCCCTGTCAGCCTGGCCAGTGGCCATGTTGCCTGGATGACTGGGGAGTCCAAAAAAAGTCATTTTTTGGGGAAAAAAAGAACTTTAACCAGAAACTGTGTGGTTTAAGATTGTTCTTAGCTGCCTGTGGAGTCATATCGTTGCCTTCAATGTGCCCCAAAGCGCTTTTCTTTCGGCACCTCTCCAGCCCAGGACTCTCTCTCCTCATCTCCTTCCTTCTGTTCCAGAGTCGACTCGCAGCTGGATCGCCGCAGTGGTGGTGGTGACGTTGCTGGCAGTCCTGATCACGGCTGGAGTCGTCTTGTACCGCTGTCAGAAATGAAGGCAATCCTGTTGGAAAGAGGTCTGGCTTTTGCAATACGAGAAGTAGGGGTCGCTTCTTGAGAAGCCACAACGAAAGCAAGGAGGAAAGAAGGGGTCTTTGCTGGAGTCTGACTGAACACAGCAGGCAGTGGAAACTGGTCAATATCCATGCAGGACCTGCTTCTGTGACTGCCTGTTATAGCAGATGCCCGTGTGCGCTACGCCAAAGCAACAGATTCAGCCAAGGGGGGGAAAACCTCATATCATACTAGGAATAAGATTCAGATTCCTGAGGGATTCCAGGCTGTAAAGATGGACCTGAAAGCAGAAAAGGAGCAATAAATTTGAAAATGCAGGTGATCATCATGACACTCCCCACCGTTTGTTCTCTCATCCTTTTGAAAGTCCGAAAATGCCAGTAGTGAGATCAGTTCGTAACAATAAATAAACTGAAGAAAATTTCATTTCTATAAGGAGCAGATCTTTTGTAAAGCTAGTGGCACTTACTTGTCTATTTATTTCACCCTTGTGTCCATGAAAGTCTCCCCCTTGCCACATTTAAAGAGTTGAGAAAAAAGTGTAGTTGAAAATGGCCTCCATAGCAGTTTTACTCTTGGGCTGGTTGATGGGCTACGAGAAACTGTAAATCTTATTCCAGCTGACTGGAAAGTTTTGGCTAAAGCAATGCTCACTACGTATTGTTTATGTAGGAATGGAAAGACGCCGCTGCGATTCTGGCCATGGATAATTTACGAAACAATATTGTTGTGTCTGCAGATATGCTAAATGGAGACGGACTCTTTGCCACCATAGCACAGCAGATTACCATCCCTAACAGGGGATTGGCACAAATGGTGACATTGTAAAAGCAGCCTGGTTAAAAATCCCAGAGAGAGGTACCCCTTTAGGGTCTTTTACCAACTTGCCTCAGGGTCCTACAGAGCAGCGTTCCCCAAACTTTTTAGTAGTGTGGACCGACGGAGCCTTTGAGGGAGGTGGGGTGGCCCTTCCTGCTTGCGCTGTTCGACGCACGCACAAAGTGGTTGGGGAGCACACAGGCCTATGGCGCACGGGTGTTCCCTCAGCACTTTGTGCATGCGCAGAAGCGCCTGCCCACCCACATGCCCACCCCAACCCTTTGCGTGTTGGCATGGGGCCAAAACTCTGGAGGCTTAATGAGGCTCTGGCCTCAAGAAGACTTCTTAGA